GACCCCTTCACAGGGGTTGCCTAAGACCATCCTGCATAACAGATATTTATATTACGATTCATAACAGTAGCAACATTACAGTTATGAAGTAGCAACGAAATAATTTTATGGTTGGGTCACAACATGAGGAACAGTATTTAAAAGGCTAGAAGGTTGAGGACCACTGAACTAGGGCAATAGTTTTTTTATTTTTAAAATAATTTTAAATTGAATTTTAGAGAGAGAGGAAGGAAGAGGGAGAGAGAGAAACATCGATGCGATAGCAAAACATCCATCAGCTGCCTCCTGCATTTACGACCCTCACTGGGGATCTAGCTCAACCCAGGCATGTACCCGGATCCTGAATGGAACCAGCAACCATTGGGTGCATGGGACGATGCCCAGCCAGCTAAGACACACTGGCTAGGGCATTTGCAACTTTTTCTAATGGTTGGTCATACACTGATTTCTCAGGGTTCTTTATATACAGGGGGGATTAGCCCTTTGTGATACAAATTGCAAATATCTTTTCCAATGTGTTATTGTATTTTGACTTTATGGAGTTTTCATCCCTGACATTAATCCTGTTGAATAATTAAATAAAACATTAATTCCAATATTAGTCCCTTTGTTTCTCTTTCCTAAATATTTCTAGAATCTGCCTTGGCTGGTATGGCTCAGTTGGTTGGAGCATCATCCCATAGACCAAAAGGTCATGGTTTCAATTCCTAGGTCGATGTTTATTTCTCACATTGATGTTTCTCTCCTTCTCCCTTCCTTTCTCTCTAAAATCAATTTAAAAAGTTAAAAAGAATAAATATTTTTGGGATCCTCCACACCCTTTCTTTCTACCCCCACTGCCACTTCCCTAGGCCAGTCCGTCATTGTTACTCACCTAAATTACTAGGTTGGTATTCTAAATGTCTCCCAGACACACCTCCCTTCTTTTTGTTTGTTATTTTTCAACCGAGGACATTTCCCCATTGATTTTTGGAGCGAGTGGAAAGGAGGGGGAGAGACACAAAGAGAGAAACATTAATGTGAGAGAGACACACCAATTGGTTGCCTTCCGCAAGAGCCCCAACCATGGCCAGGGATTGAGCCTGCAATCAAGGTATGTGCCCTTGACTGGAATCAAACCCGGCACCCTTCAGTCCGCAGGCCGACGCTCTATCCACTGAGCCAAACAGGCTAGGCCTCACATCTCTATTTCTATTCTTTGGAATCTATTCTACATTCTATAGCCAGAAAGATTCTTTCTAAAACAAAAGCGTGATCATGTTACTTTTCTGCTTAAAATTCTTCAGTGGCCGACCGAACCTGAGCCTCTAGGATAGAATCCATATCTTAAGATAGGATCTTCCATGCTGGCTCCCGATTCCCTCTTCAACTTCATCTCTTCCCAGTCCTTGCTCCACTGAACTGTTTTCATGTCCTCCCTCTCCATAGGCTCTCTCACCTCTAGGCCTTTGAATACGCTGTTCCCTCTTTGAGGAGCCTCTTTGCTTGCTTTCCTTCTACTCACCCTTCAGATTTCATCTCAC